ACACACACACACACACACACTCTCTCTCTCACTCTCTCTCTCACTCACTCTCTCTCTCTCTCTCTCACTCTCACTCGCTCATCTCATTATCGCTAGATTTTACGTTACATGTCAAGCATTCAGTACACGTATGTGTATGGATTCTTTATGGCTTCTTTGGCCGCTAAGCTTTCTGCGCTTAATTATCCTCGTAATTATACAAATATCATTTGTTTAAATAGAAATTATACAATAAATAATTTTTAATATTATATTTTAGTAGTATTATTTACGTATGTGAAAATTCGCCATCTCTAAAAGAAATAAGTAGCTGACGATTTATCAGAAAACGGTGAGCTTTAAATACGTAAATTTATATTGCATATTAATAATTCTCAATGACGACAGAATATAAAAAGCAATTTATTAAATAGAAATAAATGTATTGAATATAAAGGTTTTAGCGAATTTTAAGTGACAGTGATATAGTCGCTACTTTTTTTTTTTTATAACGACTATTTCTAACGCGCAGCAAAAATATAGCTCGGACACGCAAGAAATATAAAAAAAAAAATTAAATTCGTTTAAATACCTTTTCCAGCGTATAGATAATCGTGTGACTTACCAGATCAAATCAGTCGACATTTTATAAAAATGTTAGTGTGCATGGAGACATACAAAATGTTCACAGTCTTATTCGTATATGTAAACGAATAAAAATACGTACGAACATAAGCTTATAATGGCATTAGCTTCAAGAATATTCTCATTCTTGAATTAGATAATTTTGCCTATTAATTTAATTTTGTAATAAAACCATACGAGCATTTTATATTTCTATTATCGAAAACATAAAATTAAATTGAATGTAGTCGCGATCGAGTGAATGTTGAACGAATGAAACAGTCGGTAAAAAATCAGTAAATAATTTTAGAAATTTATTTTTTAAAACTTCTCGTCCTCAGCTAATTTTTAAATGTATTATAATTCTGATTTGTGTATAGTTTGAAATGTTGAAATATTAATGCCATCGTTACAATTAAATTTGTCATTTTTTAAATTATAATAATGAAACGAACGACGAATGTACAAGAAATAGTTAAGGTATTTCACTATAAATATTTATATGTGTATATGTATCAATTAATTACACACTATTGAAATTTATATAATATACACAGTTATTTTATTCCTATAGTTTATCATCAGTTTAATTCACTATATATATATTTGTCAAAAAGTTACTTAAAACAATGTGAAAATATTAATATAATATTTTATGAGAAAGCACTATGTAAAATTTTTAGTATTTTTGTATTGCATAAAAACGAATTGAAATAAAAAAAAAAAATTATACTTGAAAGCATAGGAAAATCGAAATTGAAATGAGGCATAAATGAATTTAATGATAAATAATAGCTAAAATAAACTAATTAGGCCCTTTTATCGCGTGTAAAAGAACATAATACATGAAATTGATTCAATAAAAATAAAGAATTAAATATATTGTCTCGACTGTTTGATCGTTCAATCAATTTATAATAAACAATTTAATAGTAAACTGAAATTTTATCATTTTTCAATTTTGATTCCATAATAAATTGGAATATTCTCTTGAATATTTTTCTAACGCTTATATACATATTATTGTATGAGAAAAATGTTCGTGTCCGATGAGCGTTCGCCGCTTATGGTACTTTGCGAGTTTGACTCAAAAGATTACTTTCTCCGAGCAAATTGATCAAACGTTTGAAGCCGTATTTAAAGACTCGAAGTAATATATATCTGTAAAGGATATTTGTTGGGGTTCGTTTAACAGCAATTGCAAGATTTTGTATAACAATGACGTGTGTTATACAAAATTCGTATCACTCGTTAGAGAAAATTTGCACCATCTAAGGGATATACGCTCGTTTGTCTGCGTTTTTTTTTTTTTTACCTGTCTCTCTCAGTCTGTCTATCTATTTCTTTCCCTCTTAGTGTGGCATGTACGAAGGCTATAAAAGTGATTCGAAAAATTAAAATATGACTCTCCGTCCCTTCCCCTATCCAGTGTTTTTATATACTGTAAATGTAACTGCCGAGCAATTGCCATAAAATCGCTATAAATGCATAACTTTCTCATAACTATCGATTTCATTATGCTCTTAAAGACACATATAAACCGCTTTCGTAGCGATCGGCCGATGATTGGGGTTGTGGAGTGGGATGCCTGGATAATCGGGGGGAGGGAGGATTTAGAGACGCTGACGTTTTGATTGTCGAGGATGGCCGAATTCACGCAGTATGATGACTCGGCCTTATCGTTTACCTACTACCTCTTATCGTTATTGTGCCGTGATTTTTGTTTTTGTTTATTTATGTGGCTCGGTGAGTTTGGTAGCCGCTCGTTAATGTCGTCGAAAGAAATATTCAGCGGACGGGGCTGAGGAGAAAAAAAGGCCGAGAGCTTGTTTTATCTAACAGCCCGGCTGGAAAGAGCGATCGGCTACGCAGGAGAAGTCCCCTCGCGTTGGGTCCGAGCGCGCGTGCCCCGTCCTCTCTGCTCCACCACGCTTACGTGCTTAAGGGCAACCTCGGGGTGCACTCGCGGGCGACGGTGGCGGCGGCGGTGGCGGTGACGGTGGCGGTGACGGAGGAGGAGGAGGAGGATGAGGAGGAGGAGGATGATGAGGGGTCGAGGAGGGGACGAGGGGACGACGGCACATGCCGGTAGGTAGAGGACGGGAGCCTCGTGCGCGCGCGGAACACCTGCTCTCCTCCTGGCGGCGCGAGCAGCTGGTCCGTGCGTCCGCCGCCTATAAAAAGCCCTACCCCGGAGCGCGCGAGCCTTCAGTTGGAGTCGCGAGCGGGAACGCGCGAGACACACATGCACCAGGAGTGCGTACGATAGATCGAGGTTGAGAGATTGAGAGGAAGGAAGGGAGGAAGGCGAGTAAACAGACAGACAGGAGGAGAGGAAGGAAGTAAGGAAGTAGTAAGGAAGGAAGGATAGAAGGACGGTGGAAAGGAGGATACGATGGAAACGAGAGTAGGGCCGATTTTCTTGGCGGTGGCGATGTTGCTGGTGGCCGCGGGAGCCGAAGATCTCATGAGCACCGTGAAGCTGCTGCAGGAGCAGGTGACGGCGTTGCTGGATCATCGTCAGGAGGATTACAATGCCCTCGAGGGCAGTCTCAAGCAATCTATGGAGAAGAACACGGAGCTACTGGTGTTGAGGAACGAGATCAAGCAGCTAAGGTGAGATTAGCGATTTTCCTCTCTTGCCGTACGCTTTTCCCACCAACGCGCTCTTTCTTGGGTTTCCAATTCATTTTCCATTTCTATCGATGCATCGACCTTTCATATTCACATATCCGATAATTCGTCGCGAGTGGCCTACACGAGCGAAACTCAAAGTTCGCCAAGCTTTAAAATGCGTCATTTGCCACTGGAAATTTTGGAAATTTGCCAAGTTTCGTTCGCTCGATGCACCATGTCATTTATTTTTTGCAATTTCTTTCATTTCTTCGGGAGTTAGGAGGACACTCGAAACTTATAATGAAAAATCGTCAGCGAATGTCCACTCGACATCGGCGCTCGTTTAAATCAATTCTGTAAATGTTTTCCTTCCGATCAATGCTTTATTATGCTCGTAACATTCGAGGCAACGTAGCACACGTTCTATTGTGAGGTCCTGCGGTTTAATAATGAGTCCTTAGTGCGACTTGAAATCATAATTGTTTGACTTCAATTTTTCCCTCAATTTACCGTTAATGCCCAATCGAGATCGATGAGCGATGAGGTGGCAGCCTTATAGACAATTTTCTCTCCTTCCACCTTACAAAGCATCAAAGTCGTTCACTAATTTTTGTCAATTGACTGGCCGAGTGGGCTTTACGATTCCTTTAAGCAAATTATAGCAATCGACGCAAAATTTTTGATATGCAATCGGTATGTCACCTATCATGTGCTTATCGCTCGTTGTGCGGTCTTCCCAATGAGCAACCAATACACATATTTAATAATCAGCAGAGGCATAGAACTATTTGCCCGATAAGCGATCGCGTTGAATATCAAAATTTAATGGTAATAAAGATGCGAATATCACCGAATAATATCCGATCGTATATAATTATGAGAAATAATTTGAGCCGAATGACTGGGCTGTCAGCCTTGTAAAATGGACGATTTTATTCAAGCTCCAAAGGGCTCACGCTATGCTAAGCCCCAATAATGAAATTTTACATTCTATAAAATGTAAGGATCTCGTAATTTTTTTATTAATCTTCGGTGGAGATGAACGCGTACGTTTTCACCAACGCAATGTCTCTTGTTGACATTGCCCTCGTATAAGTTCGCGAGGAATTCATGAATTTTTATGCGAGCATGGAGAATGTCGAGGCGAGGCGCGCTCGACGCGTCGCCTTACAAAAACTCACTACCATTGGCCTCGCGATCCTGCGGCTGAGGAAGGCCAGAGTCTAGGAGGAAAGGGTCGGGGGAAATAGGAGGGGGAGAGGGGATGATGGTGAAATGGGGGGGGGGATCGAAAGAACGGAGGAATGGAGGAAAATAAAAGAGCGATGTAAATGGGGTCCGTGGGCGCTTGAAGTGGGGATTGATGGCTGAGTGGCGGAGGGCGGCACGCGGCGGCGGTCCATCCGGGGATAATTCGGAGATTGGGCGCGCGTGGCACGCGCCCGAAGAAACAAAGAACGCTCGCGTAGACGATGTCGATTGGGGCTGGTTGTTCGTGAGAAGGGGGGAGGGGGGTAGGTAGGTAGGTAGGTAGGTAGGTAGGTAGGTAGGTAGTGAAAGTGGTGGAGGAGGAGGAGGAGGAGGAGGAGGAGGAGGAGGAGGAAGGGCAGAAGGTCCAGCTGACGGTGTGTGCGCCCGAGGCCGACGACAGCTGGCGCGGATCTTCTGGCCAGTGTTGGTTTCGGCGGGCACGCTTGGAAAATCTCGCCCGACGTTATTTTACCTGGAGAGGGGAAATAAGCAGCCGTCGAGCGCACGTGTCGCGGGAGGCCCGCGCCGGCTGCTTATTTATTATTTTACGAAGCAGCTTTTTCTCGGGATGCTCGAGCGGCTGTTTAGACGCGAGGCGGCCGACTCCCTCGGCAGTTTTGAAACGGCCCCGAGATATATGTCTACCTTAAAGCTTTAATCGCTTTGAAATTAAAATTTGTAACCCGTCGCGTCTTACTCCCTTATTTCATTTGCGCGATCTTGCCAGCGCAATTTAACATTATCATTATATTTAAGGGTACCTATCGCTGCTGTCTGCCGCTTATTTCGCTCGCACAGTGAAACGTCGCTACGAACGAATTATTCCCTTTTAATGTAACGCCACAGCATTCCTGAGGAGATGCTGACATCATATGGTACTTATTTATATGGTATTTTATTTATGGTCTTGGTTGCATGGCGCCAATACGTATCAAGCTGCGCTAGTTAGAAAATTCGTATTATGGATTGGGTAATCGAACTCGTATACGCATAATGTCACGGTCTTTCGGCATTCGTTAGTAGAATAAACATCAAAGTTTGCTTGGCTTTCGGGGCGTTTTTCCGTACTTTTCTACATTCTCTCTATCCGATTAATTCTTTTAGAAAGTATTGAAAAGAAGCGTATAGTCGCTGACCTATAAACCTAAGCCGAGCTTTTTAAACGAATCGAGAAATAAAAGCAATAGGCATACTCGAGAGCTTCTGTTGGGAGTACCGAAGATTTATAACGCACCTTTAAAGCTAAAACTATGCGCTCTTTACCCGATTACGTAATAAAAAAGAGGAAGGTTACATATGTGAGTATATGATATATTCCCATCCTTCTTTCGTTCTTTCTTTCTTTTTCCTTTTTTATATCTCTCTATTCTCCTCTATGGTATTATATGCAACACGGTACAGAAATTCTGACATACTTCGAATTTATGATTCTAACTTGGTGCCTCGCGAGTCGCAGTGACTTTGTATTAAATCAAAATCCAATATTTGATACTACTATACTTTTGAAATTCCGATTATTATATATATATATATATATATATATTTAATTAAATACTATTATTTTCCGCCCATTCGTATTTCTCTAGCAATTTAGATTCAATTAAGTTGGCTGTATTATTAATATAGTGGAATTATTATCGTACGATTATTGAACAAAACCGAGACTAGGAAAGCTCGTGTAAGCTGATCATTCATAGAGCAAAAGATATTTCGCATGAACAGTGATATAATGTTATTGTTCTTTTATATATGTATTTACGAATCGAACGAAGTGTATTTGTTTTACAATACGACAGGCTTTACGACATTTCAAATTTGCGGCAATACTACTTTATTGGATTTTTTTCTTCCTTTTTTTTCCTTTTTTTTTGTTTTTTTTTTTGTTGTTGTTGTTGTTGTTGTTGTTGTTATTGTTGACATCTAAACAATTATTTATTAGCGCATCAAAACGCGTCTCTGCAAAATTAATTTCATTCGAATCATATTGGTGAGGTAGCGGAACCTGTATTAATCGAATGAAATGAAAATTTTCATCTTGAAATATAGTTTGAATTTTCTTTTTAATTTTTCTATTTTTTCTTCTTTTCTTTTTCTATTTTTCTTCTTCTTTTAATTCCTCATGTTCGACATTTTAAATTATATTATTTCAACGGCATCAATTATTCGAGTTGTTCAGGAAAGTTAAAGTGCAGCTTTAATAGGGAGCACTTAATGCACTTGAAACTTCTTGGGAAAGGTGTACAAAAATTAATAAGTTTAATTTTTATTACTTTAAATAAAAGTCGGACGCCTTTTATTTAGAATTGCCTTTAAGCCGTAGCGTCCGCATTTAAGTCAAACAAAGACTTAAGAGTAAAAATTTAATATCGTAGAATATATATGTACGGACTCCCCAGCAAAAATCTCATTTAACTTTGCTACGCCGTAACATCAATTTTCATTCATAATTTAACAAAGACTCGTAATTAATTTATTTGGGACAGGCAAACCCCATTACATAATACATCATAATAAAATCCAACTTGAGTGGTAAACTGATAAAAGGCTGTTAAAATACTTGTTAAAATCGATAGAAGCAAAAAGGACAACAGCAAAAACAATAGTAAAGGTAGAAAAAGTGGGGAAACGAGAAAGAAAATTGAAGCTCTAATAAATAAAGTGACGCGTCGGCGACGGAGGGGTTGGGTGGAGGAGGAGGAGGAGGAGAAGGGGGGGCGGAGGTGGAGGAGGAGGCCGCAGCAAGCCTGGAGCGTTGGTATAGTAATTCGAGATGAACAATTCATGGCTTTGGCTTGGCGATGCTTCGCGCCAATTATTATGATCGGGCGCATGTGCAAGGTTAATAAAAATTTCGCGCTCGCTTAATTTTTCAGAGCTCATTGGCCAGAAGTTATTCTGCCGCCTAGAGATTCCCCCTCGGCGTGGATTATTTTACACTTTATCGTGAAAAAAAGCGACGTAGCCCGATGAAAGGAGAAAGCGAAATGGTCGATGCGTCGTCTCTTATTCACGGGGCCAAGGGGAAGCCCAACAGGATCAACGGCCCGATGACATTCCTTGGCTAATTATTACCGATTATTATGGTGCGAACACACAATAAGCGTTGGCTGACAATTTTCAATGCCCATTAAAGTTATTCTTATGCTCCAATTCGCGTCTGCCAACTGAAATTAGATAACGACTTTTTCCGAAAGAATGAGCGTGTTTGTATGCGTGTGCAAGCGTGTGTTAAGGCGCTCGTCAACGAACATTGCCGCGTGACTTAAAAATTTCTCGAAAATTTTACAACCTTTTACACGGTTCGCGCTATATTGCATTAGCGAGTAAGTAAAAAAATTTCCAGAATGATGATTCATAATAATATGAACTTAGTTTCTCACTCATCTTTATACGTTCGAATGAAAATCCAAAGACTTTGTAAGGAAAGTTTCAAAGTTTTCGGTGCAATAATTTTCAATTGTGCACTTTCTCCGACCCATGAAAATTCCCAGAATTATATACAGCGAAAAAGAGCCTATAACACACCACAATGACCATGAGATGTCCGAGATGAATATAACATTGTCAGCTTAAAAATAATTTTATTCGTCAACTTGTGCATGCAAATGTGCGGTTGTATGAATATTACCATTTCTGCCGTTTGACTTGAAAATCTTTAATAACCTCGCACTGCTGACATTTTTAAGTAAGCTCCAACGATCTCTCACTGATCTAACGATCAACAGACATTTGAAAACTTGTATTCGTAGTATAGCGTAGTTCTCGAAAAGTGCCAAAGTACCTGACGCGACGCTATTCTTCTCGCAAACACCTCCAGTCGACGTGAAAAATCAAGGGAAACTGCGTTCGCGCGTGAAAATAATGCAGAATAGGTAGCGGGGCAAGTCGGGGGCGGAAGTACTAGGAGGAGAACGAGCAGGAAAAAGGGTGGCAGCCACGCTTCGCGGATCCGGAAAGGAAGCGGAGAGTCTCCTGCACCCGCGATCGCAGGTAATTGCAGCCGGTCAGCGAAAATTCGTGCCTCGCATAGCATTCGTCCTGCACGCATGAAAAATTCGCTTTAGCCGCAGCTCGTATATCGTTGCTTTTTGTTGGGGGCAGCCATTCCCTTCTGCTACTCTCCACGGCCAGCCCCTCTTCCCCCTCATCCTTCGCCCAACGCCACCATCTCACTCTCTCAACCCCTTACTCACCGCCCACGTACATTCATGGCACCCTTCCAGTAATTATGCGTGCGATATAATTTCTTTGTGCCGCGTGTCCGTGCATTCAAAAAGAGCGTTTATTTAAGCAGAAGGAACTTGAAAGCAGGAAATATTAAAACCAAAGTTTCGTAATATATTCTAATTTTATCAAATACCCATATGATTTGTAATTGCGATGATAATATTGCACTTATATGCTTGTACAATTGGTTGATTCATATATATATATATATATATATATATATATATATATATATATATATATATATATATATGAAATAAACATGTATAAACATGTATAACATATGAAATAAACAAATGAATATATATGTGGTTAACTCAATATTTAAAAGTTCATTACCATTACAGCAGTCTAACAATTACTACTGCCTGAATCTTTTAATTATTAATCGTACAAATTAGTTCACAGGGACACCCTATAATAGTGCTTTTTTACTTACGAAATTCTACTGAATTTTTTCAATAATAAATATCATTTAGCTTGACCGAACGTTCGCTTGAAGGTAGGAAGGAAATATTCTTATTGAAATAAATACATCAATTGCCTTAACATTTCATAAATGAAGTTTCTTTCATTTTTCTATTTATTCATCTAAATTAGAATACATCAATTATAATTAAATTATATAATATTCCCCAATTTTTTAATAGATTAGATGACAAATAGTTTTTAAAGCGAATTCATACATTATTTAAGTTAATTGGTCGATTATAATGTTTTAAGAATGCATTAATTTTTGTGTTTACGAACCTTAATACAATAAACTCGATATATTTGTCAAAAATTTCTTAATAACTTGACATATAAAAGATTGGTTATTGAATTTTTAGAGATAAATATAAATATATATATATATAGTTAGACAGTATTTTAATAAAATTTAATAGTTGTCATTAGCTTAAGTTCTATTGCATTGGTAATAATTTGCATCTTTTTCTGCGGCAAAAAAAAAATCAAATTAATCCTTACCTTAGAAATGATTTTTTTTTTCTAACATCTAAATCTGACAAAATAAGTTCAGATTATCCTAATTGTTACAAGACCAATCCACGAATAATATGCAAGATTAATCAATTACCCGACAGAAGAAGGAATTCGAAACATTTATATAGTATTTAGTAATTAATCGTTATTTAATGAACAATTGAAATCCAACAGTAGTAAATATTCTTCTTATGTGCTTTAATTAAATTAATTATTATATACTATAAAGTATTTCATCTCATTATGTACAATTATAATAATTCTGACAATAATTACATATAAATTTTTAAATATTAATTACAATTACTTTGCAAGTTTTAGAATATTTGTTTGATTATTAATTTAATAAACATTAAATTCTATCAATAGAAATAGTAAAATTACATCAATTTTATTCACTCTTTATTAGTATCGGCACTTACCAAATAGTTAGGCAAAGCGTATGGATTTATTTTTGGGGAAAAGACAAAAAAAAAAAAAAAAAAAAAAAAAAAAAAAAAATACCAGCTCCACTAACTGAAATTCTATTAACTAAAACTGGAAAAAGAACAAGTCGCTCGTCATTTCAACATTGATCAATATCATTATTCCACTATTCTACATAATTCTAAGTAATTAAAATATTGGCTGCTCTTTGAAAAAAATGAAATTCCATCAAAATGAAGCGTTCAAAGCACATAAGAACGGATGCCTTGATATTCTTGAAATTTTGAAGATTTTTACTCGGCTTTTTCCAAATAACGGACTTCCAAGTTTGATTACTTATCGAACCCTTTACGACTTCTCGTACGATTCGGTGCTCCTACAATGCAGACAGTCCGACTCAATATACTTTGAAAGCTCATACTTGTAATGCTAGCAAATCAAACAAGTTACATAATACATTCGACAAATCTTATATCATTTTCCAATTGCATCTTCTTATAGAAACTGATATACATACGGATGCCCCAGCACCGGAGACTCGCTATTTTTCAATTTGCCTCTTAATTAACAGAGTACAATAAACTGCGTACTTTACGCAACATCCTCGAATCAATAATGAACCTATATTACAATTACAATCAACATTCAATACATACATACACACGTATTCATACGTATCCACTCGCATGCATATCTACGCACATGCATATTCACACACACCCACCCACCCACCCACCCACCACGCACACGCACACGCACACGCACACGCACACGCACACGCACACGCACACGCACACGCACACGCACACGCACACGCACACGCACACGCACACGCACACGCACATGCACACCTATATATAAATACGCGCGCGCCTAGTGGTGTTTTTGCAAGAAATAAAGCGAGTAGTGGAAATTTGTAAATTTAGTGCACGACTCGAGCGCCGTAGACGAGAGCGACTCGTTAACCCCTCCCTAATTGAACGAATATCTGCTTTCAGGAAGGAAATGGCGAGCCTGCGCAATTATGGCCCCGGCATCCCGAGCTCCAGCACCGGCAACGAGGCCAAAAACGAGCGTTTACGTTTGCGTTGGCTCGGGGGTGCCGTCGCCGAACTGCAGACCGAACTCGCCGAGGTGCTGAGGACGAGGAACGCGAGTGAGGAGCTCGCGGAGAGGGCGCGACTGCGCTCGGAGATCGAATTGCTGAGGGGCGACGTGGCCGGGGTCGGCAGAGCAGTGCGCGATCTCGGGGGCAGACTGGCGAGGCTGGAGGCGGGCCTCGGGACCCTGAGACTCGACGTCGTCGCCATCAACGAGCGCGTCGGACAATTGTCGCGCACCTGCTCTGACGTCAACAGCCAGGTAATTATTAAATTCTGTTTGAAAGTGTGGGAAGAGC